GTATTATAAAAAAGGGACTGAAAGGAGGATATCACGCATATAAAGATGGGTGCGCGTCATGTAAACGTGTCTATCTGTTACATTAATACGTTCAGTGAAGTTGAAACTTGATTTTCTGGATGCTTTTAGAGGGAGACTTCCCTCCTGCCGTTATTACTCCTTTAGTTAGTGATAATTGGGTGTTGGCATGCTGCTGATCTACTACGAAGCCGTATGGAGATATTGTTCCCTCCTGTTTCCGGTCACTTGTCAGAGCGAGCGCGTTGGACTTGGATCCAAGTGCCAGGATTATTCTGCTGTCATTCAAGAGCCTGTGAATATCCTAGCCTCCCTATGATCCCCACTATTCTGCTAAATGCCCTCAAGATCCTCAGACGAGGCTTTCCGTGAGGAGCAGTTGGTGCCATGATCTGAGGTTTTTATTGAGATGGGAAATTTATGGTTGCATAATCGCAAATAAACATCTCGTCTTTTTCTTGTGAGCAGGCAGCTCCCGAGAGGGACAGGCAAACAGAGGACAGAGTGCCCTCAATCTTCGTCCTCCAATTACACCACCAGCCAGCCTGCCGATAAGAGTTCATATCTCTATTCACGGAGATCACACTGGAAGTGGTGCCGCCATTCGGCCTTGGAAAGAAGGTGGATTACGTGCCTGGCCCAAGCAGTTGCTGAACCTCTGGAGGGGCGCACGGGGACGGCGGAGAAGAACTGGCGACTGCGAAAGGAAGGACGGCCATTTTTATTTTGGTGGAGTTCTGTTTGATACCACTGGAGGGCAAGATGGACCGGTTTGTGGGGACCCTGCTGACAGGAGTACGGGCTGTACATTGACAGTAGGCGGACTGGAGAACGTATGGAGAATAACTCTGCTGCAGACAACAGAACTTTCTGATCCCTGCGGCTGCCCCAGCCCCCGGGCAGCAAGGGGGAGGTCCCCAAGGTAGCGCCTGGGGACCCTGGGCTGGGGGAGCCCAAGGGCTGTGCCTGTGAGCCTGTGGGTGAGCGTGTGCCACACTTGTGGTTCCAGGTGCCCGTGACCTTTGATGATGTGGCCGTGTATTTCTCCGAGCAGGAGTGGGGCAAGCTGGAGGACTGGCAGAGGGAGCTCTACAAGCACGTGATGAGGGGCAACTACGAGACGCTGGTCTCGCTGGGTAAGGCTGCAGGGGGAGGACCTGAGCCTCTGACTGCGGGTTGGCCTCCTGCAGTCGCTGTCTTTGCTTTGGCTTCTGTTACTTTGGGAGTCTCTGCATCTCTGTGGGCATATGGGACGCAGCTCTCTCCCCATTCCCCACGCAGATTATGCCATCTCCAAACCGGACATCCTTACCCGGATAGAGAGGGGAGAGCAGCCTTGTCCCGAAGACCGCTGGGACCAGGAGAAGGGGAATGAGGAGGAGGCAGCATGCCCAAGGCAGCCGGGAGCTGGTGAGTGTGGGGGCAAGATGGGGAGCAGCTGGAGCAGGCTGAACCACGGTCCCAGCCTCCTGGGCTCCCCAGACAGTCTCAGAGGCCAGGACAGGAGCACAGACCCTTAACCGAAAGCAGGGCACCCTCTGTCCAAGGCCACCCTGAGTAGGCAGGTGGAGGGCTTTTCCTTAGAGCTGTAAGGTCTCTACATCTGTACTAGGGGACAATCACACTCACCTCACGTTGTGAGGACTAAACGCCATGGCCAATGTTGAGCACGTACACACTGAGCATTTTATAATTATGAGGACTTATTATTACTAATATACCAGCTGCCGTATTGCCACTGCCTCCTTGAGTGTGTCCATGTCCACCCAGTGCCCCCGTCACTGCTCCCCACCTGCAGCCGTGGTGGGAAGGGCTGTCAGGCTGCTTCCATCTGTGGCAGTGGGCCCTTGGGAGGCTGAGCATGCCCATCCCACAGCTGGTATACAGGACAGCGCTTCTACAGTGACCACACGTTAGAATCTTTCAGAGACCATTTTTAAAATAAAGTTTTTTTTTTTTGTTTGTTTTTTTTTTGAGACAGAGTCTCCCTTTGTTGTCCAGGCTAGAGTGAGTGCCATGGCGTCAGCCTAGCTCACAGCAACTCAACTCCTGGGCTCGAGCGATCCTTCTGCCTCAGCCTCCTGAGTAGCTGGACTACAGGCATGCGCCACCATGCCCGCTAATTTTTATATATATATATCAATTGGCCAATTAATTTCTTCTATTTATAGTAGAGACGGGTCTCGCTCTTGCTCAGGCTGGTTTTGACTCCTGACCTTGAGCAATCCGCCCGCCTCGGCCTCCCAAGAGCTAGGATTACAGGCGTGAGCCACAGCGCCCGGCCTAAAATAAAGTTTTAAAAAATAAAGTAGAAGACCGAGCGCGGTGGCTCACGCCTGTAATCCTAGCACTCTGGGAGGCCGAGGGGGGCAGATTGCTCAAGGTCAGGAGTTCAAAACCAGCCTGAGCAAGACCCCGTCTCTACTAAAAATAGAAAGAAATTAATTGGCCAGCTAAAACTATATAGAAAAAATTAGCCGGGCATGGTGGCGCATGCCTGTAGTCCCAGCTACTCAGGAGGCTGAGGCAGAAGGATCGCTTGAACCCAGGAGTTTGAGGTTGCTGTGAGCTAGGCTGACGCCACGGCACTCACTCTAGCCTGGGTAACAAGGTGAGACTCTGTCTCAAAAAAATAAAAAATAAAAATAAAGTAGATAGTACAGTGAACTTCCAAATAATCATCACCTAGACTCAACACTAATCCAGTTTGCTACATCTGCTTCATCTGTCTAGTTTTTCTTTTTTCTGAACAAAACTATAATACCAATATCACACCCACAGAATATCATCTAATACTTAGCACTTGTTCTGTTTTTCCCTGATAGTCTCAAAACTATCTCTGTAGGTGTTTGGATCCTAATTCTAATAAACCAAAGTCCACATGTTGCATTTGGTTTATATGTCTCTGAAGTCTATAAAAGCCTATAAACATCATCCTTTTCTAACAGCTTTATTGAGATATAATTCACATACTGTACAAGTCACCTATTAAGGTGTACAATTCAGTGTTTTTTAGCATATTCGGAGGTGTACAACGATCGCCACAGTCCAACAGTAGACCTTTCTTGTCCCATCAGAAAGAAACCTGTTCGCACCAGCAATCAGTCCCTGTCACCTTCCCTTGTTCTCCTGCCTCAGGCAACCACGAATTTGTTTTTTGCATCTATGGATTTGCCCATTTGGGACACTTCATATAAATGGAGTCATACAATATGTGACCTTTTGTGTCTGACTGCTTTCCCTGCGTGTGGTGGTGTCACGGTCTGCCCCTGCTGTGGCATATGTCAGTGCTTCATTCCTTGTCACCACTGAATGATGTGCCACTGTACAGACACACCGCATTTTGTTTATCCATTTGTCATTTGATAGATTTCCCCCATGCTATTTATTCGTTGACATCTCATTGTCATTTCTTACGTCTTTTTAATGCCCACATTTTCGATTGGGTGTCATTTAACATGTTCTTTTATTTCTTGCATTGCCTAAGCTGTTAGGTAGCTCTAGAGGCTTATTTAGATTCAGGATCGATGTTTTTGGCAAGACTACTTCAGACGTGCCCTGTACTCCCTGCTGTATCGTATCAGGAGGCACAGGATGTTTGGTTGTCTTTGTGATTGTCAGCCTTCTATCCTTCTATTGTTAAAAGTTCCCCATCAACTTTTCCCCTGATGATTTTAATAACCATTGAAGATTGTTGTCTGGATTCATTATTTCATCTGGGGTCACAAGATGGTGAAATTCTATCATCATTTGTATACTTAATAGCAGAAATTCTTTTATAAAGAATAGTTTCCCCATCAATTCCTTTAGTTACCCTGAAATACATGCTGCACACAAGAGGCAGGATAAATGTTTAATTCTTTCCTTCCTCAGGTTCAGAATGAAGAGTTACTGCTTTAGTGGCCTCCAGGGGTGACCCATGACTTGGGCATTTTTATTTTAAGTATTATTATGACTCCAGAGATTGTTGAATATTTTACATGTGCCATTCCTTTGTAGCGATTATTTTCCTGCTTAAATTGTCCCATCTTTAGCAAGTAGGAGCCTCTTTGAGTTGGCCCACAGGTCATTTTGATGTGACTTTAGTGGTTTTCAGGCACCATTAGATGTGCCACATTCATCTATTTCCTGCCCAGACCTGGAGTCAACATTGCTTCATGGATTTTTTATTCCTTTCAGTGAGGAATGATATTTAGAGATCACAATATGAGTGTTAGTTTTTCCTAATTGTTATCATTACTTCTAGGCTTTTTTCAGAAAAATATGTACTTTTTGAAAAGAGAAAAATCATGAGTTTATATTGATATTTCAAACACAAATTTAATATTCTTTGATTTTATACTTGTATATCACTTTTCCTTTTACATGGAAATCTTAAATTCCTGACCAAATTAGCCTAATTACTGATGCATGATCTTATATCCAATTCTAATGTTTCATTATCCTGTAATATCTTATAATTTCAAAATAATGAAGTCAATAATTCTAACAATTAGACTTTTGATTGAAATCTAAGATATTTTTGCAGCTCTCTTTATCCTCTGTATTCATTCTATTCAGGACTCATAGACAAAATAATACCTTTTAAACTGGGCATGGTGGCTCACACCTGTCATCCCAATACTTTGGGAGGCCAAGGTGGGAAGATCACTTGAGGCCAGGAGTTCTAGACCAGCCTGTGCAAAATAATGAGACCCCTGGTGCTATAAAAATAAAAAAAAATTATCCAGACATGGTGGCACACTTGTAGTCCTAGCTCCTCAGGAGGCTGAGGTGGGAGGATCACCTGAGCCCAGCAGTTTGAGGTTACAGTAAGCTGTGGTCATGACACTGCACTCCAGTCTGGGTGACAAAGCAAGACCCTGTCTCTAAAAAAGAAAAAAAAATGCCCTTTAAAGTCACCTGAAATAATTATTTTCTCTATGCATTTATGTCACCAATTTGGTATAAAGTTGTATGCATTTGTTTCTATTTTTAGATTTTTAATTATTTTCTCTATGCATTTATGTCACCAATTTGGTATGAAGTTGTATTAATTTGTTTTTGTTTTTAAATTTTTAAAGATTGTTCTTTTTACTTTAAGTTAATTTTTTGAATGTGTAAGCTATTTTATGTTTACAAAGTCAGAATGATTTAGTAGGGGGTACATTCAGGGAAGTCTCATTTCCATCCTTGTCCTCTGTCCCTATAGATAACTGGTTTTTTTTTTTTTTTTTAGCGCCTGGGGACCCCTGGGGGAGCCCCAAGGCATGTGCCTGTGAGCCTGTGGTGAGCGTGTGCCACACTTGTGGTTCCAGGGCCGGACCTTTGATGATGTTGCCGTGTATTATCCTCCGATGGGAGTGGGCCAAGCTGGAGGACATGGCAGAGGGCTCTACAGCACGTGATGAGGGGCCAACCTACGGACGCTGATGGTCTCCGCTGGTAAGGCTGCAGGGGGGGGACCTGGGCCTCTGACTGCGGGTTGGCTCCTGGCAGTCGCTGTCTTTTGGCCTTCTGTTCTTTGGGAGTCTCTGATCTCTGTGGGATATGGACCGCAAGCTCTTCCCCACTTCCCCACGCAGATTATGCCATCATCCAAACCCGACATCCCTTACCCGGACTAGGAGGGAGGGGAGCAGCCTTTCCCGAAGACCCGCTGACCAGGAGAAGGGAATGAGGAAGTGAGGCAGGATGCCCAAATGCAGCCGGGAGCTGGTGAGTGTGGGGCAAGTGGAGGCCAGCTGGAGCAGGTAACACCCGTCCAGCCCTCCTGGGGCTTCCCCAGACCCAGTCTCAAGAGCCAAAGGAGCACAGACCCTTAACCGACAAGCAGGGCACCCCTGCCAAGCACCCTGAAGTAGCAGGTGGATGGCTTTTCCTTAGAGCTGTAAGTCTCACATCTGTACTAGGACAACACACCACTCACCGTTGAGGACTAAAAACTCATTGGCCAATGTTGAGCACGTACCACTGAGCATTTATATATTACTGGAGACTTATTATGATATATTATGACCAGCGCCGATTGCCACTGCCCCGTGAAAGTGTGTCCCATGTCCACCATCCCCACCGTCCAACGCTCCCCCACCTGCAGCGGTGGGGGTAAGGGCTGTCAGAGTCTGCTCCCATCCTGTGGCAAGTGGCCCTTGAAGAGCTGGGCATCGCCTCCCACAGCTGGGATACAGGGACAGCGCTTCTACAGTGGACACACGTTAGAATCTCAGAGACCGATTTTTAGAAAATAAAAAGTTTTTTTTTTTGTGGTTGTTTTTTTTTTTTGAGACAGAGTCTCCCTTTGTTTGTCCAGGCCTAGAGTGAGTGCCATGGCTCAGCCAAAATAGCTCCAGCAACTCAAACTCCTGCTCGAGCGAATCCTTCCTGCCTCAGCCTCCACTGAAGTAGCTGGCTACAGGACATGCGCCACCATTGCCCCGGCCTAAATTTTATAATATTATATATCATTGCCCATAATTTCTTGCTATTTAATAGTAGAGACCGGGTCCTCGCTCTTGCCTCAGCCTGGTTTTTGAATCTGACCTTGAAAGCAATCCGCCCCTTCTGGCCCTCCCAAGGCTAGGATTACAGCGTGAGCCAACAGCAGCCCGGCCCTAATAAGTTTTTAAAAAATAAAGTAAGGACCGTGAGCCGCAGTGGCTTCACGCCTGTAATCCTTAGCACTCTGGGAAGCCGAGGGGGGCAGCATTGGCTCAGTCAGGAGTTCAAACCAGCCCTGAGCAAGAGCGAGACCGCCGTCCTACTATAAAGAAAGAAATAATTGGCAGCTATAAACTAATAGAAAAAATTACCGGGGCCATGGGTGGCGCATGCCTTTGTATCCCCCCAGCTAACTCAGGAGGCTGAGGCAGAAGGATCTCTGAACCAGGAGTTTGAGGTTGCTGTGAGCTAGGCTGACTCCACGGCACTCACTCTAGCCTGACTCATGTCTCAAAAAAAATAAAAAATAAAAATAAAGTAATAGTACAGTGAACTTCCAAATAATCATCACCTAGACTCCAACACTAATCCAGTTTGCTACATCTGCATCACATCTGGCCCGGCCTGGAGGCCACTGCGCGGGCGGCCCAAACTGCAGGCCCGGCGGGCGGGGCGCGACGCCAGGCGAGCGGGCGGGCGGGCGGCCTCTGCCGAGCTGGCGCGGGGCTCACGGCGACGACGGCGCGGCCTCGTCCGAGCGCACGAGCGGCTGTGCCCCAGCAGCGGCTCTTTGGGGCCCCGCGGGCCCTCGCAGGCGGGCAGGGAGGGCGGACGGGCCGCCAGCAGGACGCCCGCAGGCCCGGGCTGGGGAAGGGGCTGGCCAGGGCCCCTCGTCTCCCCGTGCCAGAGCCTCACGCCCAGGCCGGGACTTTGGAATGAGGCCCCTTTTAAGACACCTAGTATTCTACTTTTACTTAGGAGAAAGGTAGAAAACGTTGTTTACAGGAGGAATTGTGGCATTTTCTTTTTTTCTTCTTAAAGACTAGTTTAGCAGATTTTGGAGTCTTGGCATGATACTGTGCAGTTCTTCCAATTCGAAGAAAATAATCCTTTGCCATTTTTTGACATACTAGAAAAACACCTATAAAGCTAGAAAAAACACCTATAAAGCGCTCATAAGCGGTGTCTACTGTTATTAATACGTCTCAGTGAAGTTTTGAAACCTTGATTTTTCTGGATGCTTTTTAGAGGGAACTTCCCCTCCCTCCCTGCCTCTCCTTTAGTTAGTGAGTTTGGTTTGCATGCTGCTTCTCTACAGCCGTGTTTTCCCTCCTGTTTCCCACTTGCGAGCGAGCGAGCGCCTTGGTCCAGCCAGTATCTGCTGTCACCAAGGCTGGATATCCTAGCCTCCCTATCCCCACTCTTCTGCTAAATCGCCCTCAGGATCTCAGACGAGGCTTTCCTAGGGCAGGTGCCATTCTGAGGTTTCTTTCTGAGATGGAAATTTAGTTGCATAATCCCATAACATCTCTCTGTTCTTGTGAGCAGGCTCCCGAGAGGGACAAGCAAACAGAGGACCAGAGGCCCTCAACTCCTCCTCCATCACCCCAGCCAGCCGCCGAGAGGAGTTCATATCTCTACTCCACGGAGATCACACTGTGGACAGTGGTGGCCGCCATTCAGGCCTTGGAGAAGAAGGTAGATTCCTGCCTGGCCCGCGTGCTGACTCTGGAGGGGCGCACCGGGACGACGGAGAAGAAGCTGGCCGACTGCGAGAAGACGGCCGTGGAGTTCGGGAACCAGCTGGAGGGCAAGTGGGCCGTGCTGGGGACCCTGCTGCAGGAGTACGGGCTGCTGCAGAGGCGGCTGGAGAACGTGGAGAACCTGCTGCGCAACAGGAACTTCTGGATCCTGCGGCTGCCCCCGGGCAGCAAGGGGGAGGTCCCCAAGGTAGTCCCACTGAGGATTTAGGCAAGAAGGAGAGCCCAGCCCTTTGATATCTAAGATTCTGAATGCCTGGCTTTTCCTTCATGGCTGTGAGTAGAGGTGCTCATTGTGCGCCATTTGTGATTTCAGGTGTCCAGGTCACTGGAGAACGACGGCGTCTGTTTCTCTGAGCAGGAGTGGGAGAATCTGGAGGACTGGCAGAAGGAGCTCTACAGAAACGTGATGGAGAGCAACTATGAGACGCTGGTCTCTCTGAGTGAGCAGTGGTTTTATCCCTAGAATTCTCTCCCAGAAATCCTACAATTTCTGGCCAGTAGCCTGTGACTCAGACTACACCTGTGACTCTAGTTGGTTTTGGATCCTCTGTTGGCCTGTGCTGGGTTGAGAAATGGAAGTCTCCAGGCCCTCCCATTTATAGGGACTTTTGGAAAGGTCTCAGTGTTGTGCCCCTTATATTTCTTCTCTGTGGTCACATAGTTCTTGATAATGTTTTCTAAGAGATAAGATGTCATTCCATACATTCTAGTGTGATATGACTAGAGTGCCTCACCGACAAGCAAGCCTGCAGTACCTGGGATGAGGCAGGAAGCACAGGCTAGCCAGAAGCTTTTTCTGGCATTTGGCTGGAATTACAGCCAGTCATTGTGGTCTTAATGTTATTTCATGTTGATTAGAAGTGCTGATTAATAGATAGAAATTTTTGTGTGTAAAATGTTACCTATTATGTAATAAATGCATTTTGTTTGGTAGAAAAAATCTTTTAAAATCTAGGTCCACGGAGGAGTGTCAAGAAGGCCATCGTGCCTGGAGCAGAGTAACTGGGGAAGGAAGTAGGAGATGGGCCAGCAAGGTGACCATGTGACCTCAGCTGGGTCAGGGGCTCTCCTCATAGCTGTTTCCTTCTCTGTCACACTGCCTACCTTACCTTGCGGTGCCTTAGCAAGGGCAAAACTGGATCCCCTGAAAGGAAGCCTTGGCAAGACTTAAGCCGTGTCCCGTGAGGAAGCAGTGGTGGTGCTGGGGAGAGCAGCAGTGGCTCCGCAGCCCGACTGCCTCGGCCACAGGGGCTCCAGGGGAGGGCATCGGAGCAGCAGCTAGCCACATTGAGCATTAGCATTGGCCAGAATTTTTTAATTGTCCTACACTGCTAGGGGAAAGTGTCAAGAACAGTAGCCTTTGAATCTTTTTGAAGTTTTAGTTTCTACTCCTGGCTATTGGTCATTTTGTTCATCGGCAGCTGCCCAGTGTGGAGTGAGCTTTACTCTCTCCTGGGCTTACGCTGTGCTGTTTCCAACCCAGAGGTCCTTGGCCAGCCAGAGGGAGAAGCAGAGTTGAGTACAGAGATGCTGGGCGACCTAGAGGAGGAAGGCCCTGTTGGTGCCCACCCAGGTGAGTGGATCCAGAATATTCAATCTCCCTCCTGCAGCTCTCTGCAGCCTGCATTGAGCTTTCCTACTGTTGAACTGCCAGACACTAACTGTCGGCAACCTCATGTGGCCTTTGCTTGTTCTAGACTCTTTTGTGACTCATTAGTTCCCATGAGTCACATGAGTTATGTGTCTCTTAGCTCCCACTCTGGGGTCCTTAAGGCAATTGACCATATCACTCTTCCTCTTGTCCTGCAGAATAGAGTATGTGATAGGCTGTAGTCAAAACCTGCTGGAGGTTGAGAGTGGACAGGTCAGAACTTCAGGAGGGAAGGGAATGCAGGAAAAGCATTTGTTAGCAGGTCATTTGGGGAGACTGCAGGAAGAACAGAGCTGGGGACATGAATTTTTAGCTGTAGGTTTCATTTATTTCTCTTTAATCATTCAAATTTGCTATTTAAACACTCTCAATGAGTATAATTGTTACAATATATTTTGTCATTTTCACGGGGATTGAATATAAATTTGTAGACAAGCTTGGGGAGCTATCATTTATAATATTGTTCTATAAGAGTAATATTCAGATTTCTAGTCAACATGCTTTTACATGAATATAGGGTTAGTTTTTCACAAATCTTGGAATCTAGTCAGTCTCATTCTCCTACAGATTGTCCTAATTCACTTGTTCCTGAGGTGGTTCTGAAATTCACAGATGTTTGTTTGGCTCAGAAGAAACTGAAGGTGCTAGACTGTGATCTTTTTTTGTTGGTTTTCTTCCTCTTTGCAGCAGATGGGGTTGTGATCAAACAGGACCTACAGTACAAGCCAGAAGGCTCTTCACATCTTCCTGGAGAGTTCTCAGTCATGACTGAAGAGCAGGCTTTCCTGACGCCAGAGCACACTGAGCTCTGGGATGGTCAGGGCAGTTCTGTCCTCGTGGAAACAGGTCCTGGGGGTTCTAACCTAGAGGAGCCCATTGAGGGCAGTAGAGACCTTAGCAGTGGCAGAATTATGGACCTCCCAAAGCAGAAATCTCATAGGCAGACACAGCTGAGTCAGGAACATGGGCAGGGCCTGAAGCTGAAAAGGGACACTTCCGGCCCCTATGAGTGTTCTGAATGTGAGATCAGCTTCCGCTATAAGCAACAGCTGGCCACACATCTGCGGAGCCACTCAGGGTGGGAGTCTTTTACACCCGAAGAGCCAGAGGAGAGCCTTAGGCCCAGGCCACAGCTTAAGCCCCAGGCCAAGAGGGCCAAGCTGCACCAGTGTGACGTGTGCCTGCGGAGCTTCAGCTGCAAGGGGAGCCTGGTGACCCACCAGCGCTGCCACCGGCAGGAGGGGCCCGGTGACGGCCAACGCATGCAGGAGAGGTTCTCGCCCAACAGCCTGGTTGCTTTGCCGGGCCACATCCCTTGGAGGAAGAGCCGGAGTTCCCTCATCTGTGGTTACTGTGGCAAGAGCTTCAGCCACCCGTCGGACCTGGTGCGGCACCAGCGCATCCACACGGGCGAGCGGCCCTACAGCTGCACTGAGTGTGAGAAGAGCTTTGTCCAGAAGCAGCACCTCCTGCAGCACCAGAAGATCCACCAGCGGGAGCGGGGCGGGCTGGCCCTGGAGCCTGGAAGGCCCAATGGCCTGCTTTAAGAGTGCCAGCCCCTCGCCCGTCTGGGGGGCGGAGGGGGGTGGCATTCGTCCCCCCGAAGAGACACTGTGCAGAGTCAGGGACTGACTTCTTCCTGAGGGAAGTTGCTTCTGATTTGCCTTGCCTTGACCAGGTACCTAGCCAAGCCCAAAGGCTGTCCTGAAAATCACGTGGAAGAGGAAGAGTCTGGGACCAGGTCTTTACCCTGCTGCTGAGTTTGCTATCTCTCATTTGCCCATCTGTGCTGATACTCTTGGGCTGGGGTCGGAGATCTGACCCCGCAGGGTCTGGTGGCTGGTTCCAGGACTCGCCCTAGCATTTCACGTCTTCCTTGAAGGGTTGAGTCAGGCCATGGGAGGTAAGCAGGTGTGTGGAAGAGTTCTGAGAAGCATAACCTTCTATTTCTTCTTTTGTAGTCTCTGTTAATAACAAGTAGAAGAAATAATTTAAATGAACTGCTTATTCTGCTCTGATGAACCTTGTTTTGGAATTAGATTTTAGTTGATTTTTAAAGAATAAATCCCAACACTTGTTTTTTAAATTTCAAGAGTTGTAGAAGTTGTTCCTAACATGGGGACTGGGCCTACCCTCTAGGAGGGAATAGTAAGTATATGGGGCTCTTTTAGCCCACCCGCACTTAGGCCAGAGAGCAAGGTTCATACAGGGCTCCCTCTTGTGGGAGTGCTTGGTGCTCTTAAATGGGCTAATTGTGTCAAAAGGACCAAGAGGAAGTGAGTGGCAGGGCAGACCTCATCCCTGCTGAGAATAAGGATTCTGGTAAAGGAGCTGAGTCTGGCTCTGGGAGCTTGGGTGTCTCAGCATACCCCTCTCTTCCTCTTCCCACCCACTTTTTGCTGCGGTGCTGCAGCCTCCTGGAGTAGAAATAATTACAGGGTGTCCCAGAAGTCTCCATACATAGGGAAAATGGAAAATTGTAGCTAAATGTACCTTTATTTAGAAAATGTTCATGACAGAATTTTTCCTTTGTGTGGAGACTTTTGGGACACCCTGTATTTTGTTACTTAAGGTCGTTCAGCTTGTACCAGTGGTTATTTGAGTTTGTTCCTATTACAACAGTCCTTACTTGAGGTTGTTCAGATTACATTTTCCAAATTCATTCTGGGATTGTCTATTCTAGGGATGACAGAAAAAGCATACAGATGCTTCTCTCCCAGCAGTGTTGAATGCCTGCCCCACTGTTGTTTGGGGAGATGGGATCGGGCTCCTGGGTCATGTGAATATCCCCTTGGATGATTTGCAGTTGCCTAGAATAAAACTTGCTACTAGCAGAAAAGGTTCATATTAGATGTGTTTTTTTCTCCATTTGTCAAAAACACTCTCTGGGGCTCAAGGTGGAAGAGAGGTACACCTGGAACAGTGACAGAACTGACAGCACAGCCTAACCTGCACTTTTGCTTAAACCTGGGACAGAAGACAAGAAGAGAGCAATGATGAAAATATTCACAGGTCCTACTCGTGGTGGTGGAGAGCTGGAGACAATGTGGGTGTCAGCTGTTGGAAGGCAGAAAGGGTAGATGAAATATGGTGGTACCTAGGGGAGTAGTAGGCAGCTGCTAGGAACATTGGCTTAGACACACGTGTTGCCATCTGTATCCATCTTAAACATACAATGCTACTATGCATGTGAGAGAGAAAAAGCAAAAAAAAAAAAATGAAAAACATATAATGCTGAGTAGAGAAGGTAAGAAATTGAGATCTATAACATAATACCATTTATATAAATTAAAAATGTATCCAGCCGGGTGCGGTGGCTCATACCTATAATCCTAGCACTCTCGGGGGCCGAGGCGGGAAGATTGCTTGAGCTCAGGAGTTCGAGAACAGCCTGAACAAGAGCGAGACCCCGTCTCTACTAAAAATAGAAATTAGCCAAACAACTAAAAATAGAAAAAATTAGCCAGGCATAGTGGCACATGCCTGTAGTCCCAGCTACTTGGGAGGCTGAGGCAGGAGGATCGCTTGAGCGCAGGAGTTTGAGGTTGCTGTGAGGTAGGTTGACACCATGACACTCTAGCCCGGGCAAGAGAGTGAGACTCTGTCTCAAAAAAATAAAAATGCATGCACACAAAAGATTTTCAAAGAACACTTAGAAACCAAAAGATAAAGACATTATAATTGCCTGTGTGGAGAATGAGTGGGATATGGATATAAAAGGAACAGATGAATAGATAAAAGGAAACTTGGGTTCCTGTAAGGTATGGGATTGTCTTGTTACAGAAACTGAACACAGAGGAAAGTAGCTGTGGGGCAGGTGCGGAGAGAGCTGTGTAGCTTCGTTGTGCGTAGGAAAACCTCTGGAGCTGCTTTGCTAAGTTTCTTACACAGTCTTATCTCTAAGGTTTTGCATTATACTGTAGATACTCCCTCTGTCCCATCCTTGATTATTCTTCTAATTGTTGAGTGTTTTAATATGAACAGCCTTATGCCTTACATTGTAGAGAAAAAAGCCAAGAACAAGACACGGTCCTTATTCTCTAGCAAAGTTAAGTTTTCCTTGAGGCAGGGAAGTAATTGTGTCAAGCATTTGGACTACTGCTAACATTTGTTGAGCACTTGTGTGCTAGGCACTGTTTTAACTTCTTTACATAAAAATAAATCCTCATACGATCCTGTGTGGTGAACTGGATTTTGCCTCATTTTACATATGAGATGTGGGTGGAGACCTGAGAAGTGAAGTACCAAGCAGAGGTGGTATGAACCCATCTCGAGTCAGAGCCCACACACTTGGCCATGGGGTGCTGTTGCTTCCTCGATTAAGTACTCTGATGTCACAGTTGGTTTCTAAGTCCCAGAGTGTGGTCCCTGCACCAGAAGCATCATCGGCACCCCCAGGAGCTTGGTAGAAGTGCGGAGTCTGAGGCCCCATCCCAGACCCACTGCATCAGAATCTGCATTTTAACAAGATCTTCAGGTGATTCTCTGCACATAGAGGCACTTCTTGAGTCTTCCAAAACATAGCCTCTTGCCTGCTTCAACTGTCCTTCACCGAGAGCCTGCTCTGCTAGGTGCTGAGTAGAAAACAGGAAATGGGCTGTCTGAAGGACACATATGATCAAGTTAGAGAGTGAAGTCAATACATAGGGAAGAATTAAATGCCAGACATCAGAGACTTACATGTCCTGTCTTTTATCTCATTCCTATTCCCACACTTAAGGTCCTAGTTGTCACTCACCTGAACTCAGTAACCTAAGTGGTCTCTTCTGCCTAATTACATCCTTTTTTCCTACTAGAGTTATCTTTGAACATAACTGGACATGGGTGTTCATCACAACTTTGCAATGGCTTTCAGCAGCTACCAGCAAACAGCAAACGTTTTAGTGTAAAACTCAAGACTTTGACAACCTAATGCATCCACATTTTTTTCTCCTTTCACTCTCCAAACTATGCTGCTGCCACATGGGGCTTCCTGTCATTTATTGAATAAGCTGTGCTTTCTCTCAGCAATGCCCTTCTCTGAACCAAACACTATTTTGCACTGTTCTGGTTTATAAGCCCCTTCTGTGAAAGCTTCCCTTACTCATTTTTCAATGGGCAAATGTTCATAGGAACATTGGCTTAGATGCATGTGTATTAGGCATCTATTGGGCGCTGTTTTGAAAACTTGGGACACATCAGTGAACAAAACGAAGATCTTAGTCATAGTTGAGTTTACGTTCTATCAAAATCAGTTTTCTTCCACTGCTGCCCCTTTGCACAATCCTTTCCTAGACTAGCACAGTATTCTGTTCTGCCTTAGAGTTTGTTCCCTCATGAATATCTCAGTGGCCTCCATAGGCAAAATTCTATAGAAGGTTAAAAGGGTAATTAGAGATCTTGGACTTACAGGCTGCGTAGGGAATCTACAAGATAGAATAGTATATGTCTTCAGATAATTGAGGCTAAAATGCTATAGGAATTCAGAGAACAATTATTTTAGATGTGGGACACTGGGGAAGGCTTTATGACATGTGTCTTTGAATTGGCCATATAACGATGAGAAGGACATTCTAAATGGAGGTGGTATGACCAACATAGGTGATATTACAGGGTGTATACAAACAGCAGTTCATCACATTTGGCTGGAGAGGGGTTGTGAGGAGGGTAGTGGGTATTATGGTTGCGTCAGGCTAAAAGGAACTTGGATGTCGTTCAGTTGGTAATGGGGAACTGAAAAATTTTGAGCAAAAGCGACCTGATTCTAGCTGTAATTTGGGAATACTCATCTAATAAGAATTATATCATGCTTTTTGTTGTGTGTGTGGGGGATATGTCAAAAAGTTTTTGAGACCAAACAAAAGCCAGTGAGGACCTGCAGCTGCAATGGGAAGGGAACAGTGGACAAGACCACCAAGGAAGGCTGGGCGCAGTGGCTCATGCCCGTCATCCAAGCACTCTGAGAAGCTGAGGTGGGAGGATAGCTTGAGCTCAGGAGTCTGAGACCCCAACTCAACTAAAAATAGAAAAAATTAGCTGGACATGGTGGTGCATGCCTGTAGTCCTAGCTACTCAGGAGGCTGAGGAAGGAGGATCACTTGAGCCCAGGAATTTGAGGTTTCTGTGAGCTAGGCTGACGCCACAGCACTCTAGCCTAGGCAACAAAGCAAGACTGTTTAAAAAAAAAACACCACCAAGGGAGAGTCTTTGGGAAGGCAGGAACCACATCTTAATCCTACCCTGATGCCACATATCTGAGCACACACAGGTGCTCATCAAACGCTTTATTTTTATTATTTTTTTAGAGACAGGATCTTGCTGTCTCCCTAGGCTGGAGTACAGTGGTGTGATAATAGCTCACTGCAGCCTTGAACTCCTAGGCTCAAGTGATCCTCCTGCCTCAGCCTCCCCAGTACCCCAGTAGTTGGGATTACAGGCACACACTACCATGCCTAGCTAATTAAAAAAAAATATATATGTTTTTTGTAGAGACAGGGTCTCACTACGTTGTTTAGGCTGGTCTTGAACTCCTGGCCTCAAGCGATCCTCCTGTCTCAGCCTCCTAAAGTGCTGGGATTACAGGCATGAACCACCACATCCAAATGTTTGTTGAATGAAGTATGATGGGTATTCACAGAAAAAGGTAGCTCAGTGTTATTGGAAGTAGGAAAGGCTTCATGGAGGAAGAGAGACCTGATTATACTTGTTGTCTCCCTCTACTAGTGTCTTTATAATTCTGTGTAGGTCCATTCCCTAATCTAAATTACATGCCTGGATTGTAGGGTGAGCTGCCCCTCTGTCTTGGCTGAGGACGTTGTGGTGGGGACGATAGCACTTGAGTGTCCTAACCCAACTTTGAGCAACCCCGGGCGTTACTCTGGTGGCCCTCATTGTCTGATGACCCCACTTTCTGCAGCAGAGGCAGGTGGCTGGCTGTGTCAGTGACCTGCACCCCAGTTACTCCAGGGGCTGGGCCTCCACTTTAGAAACCCAATGCTGTCAGTTCACCCAGAGGTATCCAGGCCCTGGTGATCTGATCCAAAAAGAAGCAAGCTTACAAGAGGCAGTTTAATAAAGAACAATGTAGTTTTAATTTATGTCAAAGCTATAGCTGGCCTGATACCCGGGCTGGTCTGCTCAGGAAACCACGTTATGGTACAAAGCGTTTGGTTTTTTAAAAAGTATGTATTTATAAAATCAGAGCATGGGAATAGGAGGTAGCTGTCGGAGCCTGATAAACAGGGCCATCATTCACAAACTGTGATCACCAGGCCAGCAGAGCCAGCAGCATCGCTTGGGCATTAGATAGAAATGCAAACTCTCATCACTCTTCCCATCTCAGACTTAGAAATGCTGAGGTTTGTGCCCAGCATTCTGTATTTTACCAAGCACCCCAGGTGAACATGCACACTAAAGTTTGAGTACCACTGACTTTGTTCCTAAAAAACGAAGACCAGCTGTCAAAAATTATAGCACTAAACCTGAACAGAGATCATTAAATACATGTCTTCCTCTCCAATCCACTTTACAAACTCTGCATTGGACACTAACCCTTATCTCATATGGTCACAATTTACCAGTATCTTATAATCCTTAATATATTGGACTGATCCCTGATGAGACTGTAGGGATGCTCTTAATGTATTCAGTACACCTTTGTAATTTGTCTCTTAGGTTGGGTTATTTCCGCAAGAATTTCCAAACTGAAGAATGCTAACTATTGAGTTTTTTATTAAAGTAACACACCTTGTCCCAAATTCTAGGCGGTGTTCCTTACTTAGCATGTCTGTTTCTTTATGTTCTAGCTGTTGGCCACACTTTTATTTGGATCAAATATTTGCAGAAATAACGTTCTCCATCTCCC